TTGTTAAAATAATCATATCACTTGGTTTCCATGGTAACTTTGTAATGTTTTAGTTTTGAGGGTGGGTGGGAGGGCTTATACAAAAGAGCCAGATAGAAAATCGGGCAGCGAAGAAAACAAGCACTGATGATTTATTTCCACGTCATAGCTACTTAATACCAAAATTTGTAACACAAATCACATGTAAGGTGATCTTCGTGATACTGTAATGACCCTGCTATCGTCATGATCGGGTCTGTGAAGAATACAATACAGTACTGAGAGGTGATTACTGTGCAAGAATCTTGAGAATATATAAATATATATAATTATTTATATATTATGTTGTGGAAAAAATTGGAGCGCAGTAATATGGCACGCCGTCAAGTCACGTAATTAGCATACCGCCGTTGTGAAATAAAGGTAGGAAAGTTTGAAAATAATAATATGTAAACATGCGGCGCAAGTGATTAGTGTTGTGAGAACAATAGAGATGGGAACGCGATATTGAGACGTGCCACGTAACAATAGAGCTGGTGATGTTGATGGAATGATACAATAATTAGTAATACTGTGGTATGTAATGAATGGACGCGTCAATAAGGCATATAGATAGGGTGGTTTTCCATAGTTCGCGATAGTCCAGATCTTAGCGGGAAGAGTTTAGTTTGGAATACCTGTTCTCGCGCTTTATTAAATAAATATAATTATACTTCGCACAATAAACATTTACACTCCCTGATGTATAAACTAACTAAGACTACAGTAAAGTCAAGTAACCATTAAGAGACGAAAATGGGTTATCTTTTGCACAATACTTGTAATCATGAGATGCGCCTAGAGAGAAAGAAAGGAAAAATAAGTGAGATGTGCAGATGAATCGAATGCTTGGAAATTTACTCGTTGACTAGTCGAGCTCACTCAACCATTTGCTTTCTAACGTTCAAATATGCTGCGGGTCATCATGCATGATCCCAGTTCTCGATACTCTTATTTACTTCGAAATCATCAAGTATAACGGAAATGTGATTAAGAAGTTATAATAGTTAAGAAACATTAACGGGAAATCAGCATATATTGGTAAGTATAAAATAAAGGAGGATATTTAGGTTAAACCGTGGGGAAATATGTTACCGAATAGGTGAAAACAAGGGAACGAGTAATAGTTTAATAGGAATAATTTAGGTAGTCATAATTAGATATAGTACTTAGTAGCGTAGCACTATCCCCGTTCTGTTTTTTCATAGTACTAATAAAAGATTTGAGTGAGAATAATATCATATGTTCCTACGTGTAACGTCAAGCCTCTGACAAAAATTTGATGCAGTATATTAAATGAATTTTTTAGAAAACGCTAACAATATTTGCAATATCTAATTTGCAGATAAGTGTAAAATTCAGATTTAGACCAAGTAAGCTTAAGGAATACAAGAGAAGTAATAAAAAATTCTTTATTTATTGATCCTAATAATACACTTCAAATAATATCCCCTTGTCAGTACAATAAATAAATTTTTTTAAGAGCTTTCAATAAAAGAGGCAGCTTTGCGCCATAATACAGTGATATTTCTAATGCTTTCCTTGTCATAATACAACCTGTATTTGGCGGGTCTAAATGTGAATTCGAGTACCTCATCAGGATTAACTATACTATAAGTTTCCACGTGAGTGAATTGTGCGGAAGCTTTAATGTTATAAAAACTAGGATCTGTGCTACTGTTAAATCCCAAAATTTGTAAAGTATATATAAGTGCATCGGTTGGTATGACACCTCCAGAAGCAAATGAAGCAAATGAAAGCGGTTTATTATAAAAACCTATTACGTAATAAAGTTGTTAGTATTGCATATAATATATTTGTGGATGTGCATGAATTTATATTACCTCCTACTGCTACAGTGGGAACTTGACCTATCTCGGTCAAGTAATTTGTGGTAAGAGAGCATGATGATCCACAGAACCCGTTTGTTAAAATAATCATATCACTTGGTTTCCATGGTAACTTTGTAATGTTTTTTGAACTTTCCGCAGCAGAAGTGGAGAGTTTGTTTACATACTTGTTCGTAAACTTAACTTCATCGCCCCCACGATTATAATAATTAGTGCCAATAAATTCCTCTGATGTGTTAAAAAGCTCTCCTGTGACAGCGTCTATTTTAAGATGAGCGTTAAAAATTTCATCATATACAACATTCTCAGTAGTACTTTTTTTAAATGCAAGCTCTGCGATTTTGGATACTCTCATATCATCCGGAAGTGTGTAGATTTGATCACTTGCATCAAGTAAAAGAATGTTGAGAAATGAAGAGATATCTACGTATCCTCCACCGTTATCAGTGAAATCAAGGACAATCTGTAACGACAACAAAATCATGTTTGTCAGTTTACGGAATTGGTCAATAAAATTTTCTAATATATACTACCTTTTTAACATTAGCTTGAGTCAATAGATTAAATCCATCAATAAGACTCTTATAAATGTTCGGAAAGTCGTTTGTAGTTGCCCCTGGAATACCAAATGAATAAACCCGCACAACACCGATATCATCTAATTGATAGAACTTTGCGACATCTTGCACTTCTAGAAAAGGTTCTGCATCAGCAGACTGGGCGTCATTTTTTCCTATGCTATCTGAACTGGCAGAAGTTGAGAGTTTCTTATCAGGATTAGCACACAGATTTTCAAAGTAACTACTCGCATCTTCAAACTGGTTAAATAAGGAACTATTTGTGATGGTGATATTCCAAGGAATTTCAAGGTGAGATTTTTGTCCTGAACATAAGATGTCATAAGAAATGATTTCATCTTCAGGTAGCTTTGTACGCTGAGCAAAATAACCAAGTCTAAGGGGAGATCTTAAGGCACTATTAAATCTAACTCCGAGATCACGCGATACGCTTATTTTAGTTTTAGCATATTTTATCAATACATCGAATACGGGTTCTCCATTGATGTGGGTGACTTCACAATCTACCAAGGACGGATCTTTCTTATATTCATAAACTTGGATTACCTGAAATTAAATACAAATATATAAAATCAAACCATCAACTATATTAATACTATTAAATCCTTACTTGAGTTCCGTCAGGTTTTACGACTGAGTATAAATAAATTTCTTGGGCAAATTGAAATATGGAATAGCAATTTGGATTAAAAGAAACGTGAGCATCTTTCATCTCGGATAAAAGATCTACAATGGCAGTCTAAAAAAAAGAAAAAATCGATAAACTACAGAATAATACTGTGTATATAAATCTTCAAAAAAACCTGAGACCAACCGTAAATTCAAAATCTGATTGATAATTCTTTTCAACCAAGAGATCGAATTCCTTTAGCAAATCAACGGGTTTATAGTCAAATCCAGGCTGGGGAGGCTCCTTGGCTTTATTCAAATGTACATAGAAATTCCCATAGAGTCGTTTAAATATATCTATGAGCTATTAAACGCAAAGCCTTATATTAAGTATACAGTATTTATTTTCACGTGTAAACACAATCATGCAATTTAATCACCTCGGATGACCTAGCAGAATTATAAGGAAAAGATTCATAACAGCCTTTTACGTCGGCATATTTAATCTCATGTGTTTTTAAGTAGGTCTGCTTGAGATTAGTACACGCATCATTATCTCTCCTAAGTTCTCCGCTTGGAAATGAATGCGTTATGGAAATGGTTGTGATTAATAAAACTATTGCTAAGACGCACAAACGATTTTGATTCATTATTAAACAAATCTTACTTATTCCTAAAGCTAGGAATGAGGATTTAATCTTAAATATTGCCTTCTTTATATACCTTTTCTTCTATTCACTCGAATACAAAATTATCGAAATAGGTCGTGTCAATACACAATGGTTCGCATAATTTCATGAATGAATTTAGAAACAGTTTACCATGTAGGGATTTCAATGCATGCACTATAAATAAAAACACATTACCAAAAATGTTGAAAAGGCTATTATAATAAAATTATGCGCAATTTTTGTGTTACGACGTATTGGATTGTACGAATTCCTCCACTTTAGACGGACCAACATCAAAATATGCTCCGAGCTATTTAGTTTAACATGGGGTGCTTTTGCTATATAGTCAACACATTAAAATAAATATCAAATTGTTTCGCTGAGATCCTTAAAGATTCAGGACAAGAAATTAAAATATACAAGTATTTTTATTGACGCATTTGCTTTTATTTTTGTATGCTGAAGATTAAATCGAATCAACGCAATGTGCTGCATGCCAATTATATGCGCAAAAGGCTTTATTAAATACCTTAAATTGGAAAGTACGTGACCTTTTAATCTCCTTACGTTCTTAAATTTTTGCCATAATGAAAGTAATCTTTATAAATTTGTACCATAAAGGATACGGGTTCAAACCGTTGAACATTCCTATTATTTGTTAATTTAAACAAAAAGGTATAAAAGAAAATGTCATTCGTAATTAAGAAGAAACCAAAGAATGAGTGCGTAACATTTCGTCGTTCAACGACATTTTGTTGCATGAATAAAGGATTACCGACACTATAATAACAATGGATATGATTCTAATGCATTATATGGATACCAAATATTTGACGGATAGATATTGCCAAATCAATTTAAAATTGACGATTCATCTCCGATATATTTATAAAGTATAGATCACTATAGATAGATCTATTAAAATGAACGAAATTTTTAAAGTTTAGGACACATTGCATTGTACAAACTGTATTCTTATTGTCGTGACCGGGAGAGTTTGTTGCTAACCCGAAATTGTCAAAATTACGCTCGATCAAGGTAAGTCATTTGCGCTTTTTGAAATTTAATACATACTAACATTCTCCTCTTAACTGTCTTCCAGAAACTCTATCTTCTGCCATAAACCCCAATATTCTTGCTGAACTCATAATTTTACTTGTTAAAACTTATCTACATGTTAGTTCTGTTTACATATTGATTACTTGCGCCGCATGTTTACTCAATTACTGTATATTATATTCTAAAACTTTCACTTTAACTCCGCTCATCGGCGCATTGATTGCGTAACGCAATACCGCGTCGCGCATCTGCGCCCCGTCTTACCACACATCATTATGAATGAATCGGAAGGAATTTATTGAGAAGATACTCAATTATTAAAAAGAATGCATTTGTAGCACAAATAAATCAACATAAAGTTTCGTTTCACATCAATAACAATTATCTATTGTTAGCATAAAAATTGTAGGGTCAGAACGCGACATGAGGGGTCCGGCGCGGTGCAGCGTGGGGCGTCGATCATGTATCAATTATGCATGATTATTGTTGTCACCTAAATTGGACAAATGGTCAAACCTCCAAAAAAACTTTTTTTAAAAAAACAAATGATGAACATGATATACAATGGTTTGTTTATTTGACATTAATAAAAATCAAGATTAATAATTAAATTATTTATTTATTAGTTTGACCAGAGTGGACAAACTATTTTATTATAGTTCGGGCGTTTGGACGGCAACTATATGCATGATTGATGGGCGCAGAGTATGTAGAAGAGAGACGAGTTAATTAATAAAATATTATTCATTGTAAAAACTGATTGTCTGTGCTAGTGCAACGATAATTAATAAACTTATTTGTTGTCCAGTCGTCTTAGAGAATCCAAAGGATCGAGAAGAGGAGACTGACCAAAGAAAAAGGAAAGCTTAGGATACTTATCACCGCAAGTACCTTTGGTATTGCCAGCGATAAAGATCCACTCACCCAACGTAACACGAGTCTTGGTTCGGATTAGCGACAGACTTGCCGTTTAGGATAACACTACATAATAACAGAATTATTTGAAAACATAACCGTGACTTGGAGAGCGAAGAAATATTTAGAGCATCTCCTCTGATAATTTCATTGCTGTGGGCTTTTATACCTTAACTTTTGTTTCTAGTAAAGTTTGAGTCTTTTAAATCTTGATTTATATTAGACTGTCATTAAGTGAACTTTAGATAAGTATTTAACGTAATATGTGCTTAATCTTTAACTCGTACGCCTCTGATTTTATCCTATACGTACTAGGTAGTATTTAATTAGCATAATAGCAGAAATTATGATAAGCTTATATAGCAAATTTAGCGTTTTATAAAAATGTACGTTCTCATAGAATTGAAGATTGGAAATTTTTTTGTTCATATGGAGGTAATCTGTTAGTTCGATAGTTCATATTTATATAAAAAACGTTAAATTTATGAGATATTGAATATACAAATCCTTTGTGTTTATCTGAAATCCTTCTTAACCCTGATGTATTAATATTACCGTGCCGTTCCTAACTATTAGAATAAAAAATTATGATTTTCTTTTGATTGGTAAGGTTTCCTTTTAGTTGTCAAAGAAAATAACGAAGAAAGGAAAATCGCACGACTGAAAAACTAGTTAGGCGTTGCGGAATACTGAGTACATGTGTTCAGGCAATTATTATACAAAATACTAAAAATACTGGTTTTACTTTAAAGATTTCATTTTTTTTTCAAGTCATCGAACTAATTTCCATCATATAATTATCAACGATGATAGTTCTGCCAACAAAGTAATTTAAATTGTTTTACGTACTGTATATTAATTTTTATTTCTTCTACAAAATAAACTTTCGGTTAACTTTAACTATTAGACTTTAAAAAGTTTTCATTGAGTTTTATTGCGATTACAAACACCTTTTATTTATACACATACAAAAGTTACAAATGTGAACGATAGACTTATTTGGATATACTGAAATTTTTGAAAATTTATTTAGAAAATTAGATATTATGATATATAAAACTTTTGATTTCAAAAATTTTTTATTATGTTATACAAATTCCGATACTAAGTAAATTATATCCGAAAACTTTAAGTTTTAATGAAAGGATAATTTCAACAAGAAAATAATCAGGAAGCTGTAAACAAGTAAATTACTTAAGAAAGTTTTAGTGTTGTAACGGTGTAATGGCGAGCCAGTCGCTAACCTAGCAGAGATTCGCGTAACCGTTACTGGGTAAAACAAATGAAAGGGGATTTTAGGCGTGTTTGTATTTGACCGAGTCTTTATTAATTTCTCACTTAATTCCTTGTCTCTCCTCCTTACACTTTACATTCCTTTATACTTCTCTTTCTTTACATTTGGCTATTGCGGCTTAGGCATAATAATAATTGATGATACAGCGACATGGCTAAAGCTAAATTACATGATTCTTTTCACAATCCTTCCCGTCCTTCCTTTATTACCTAATTATCACAGCCGGCTTCCCATTGTCGTCGATCGGTCATGGGACTAACGTCGCGTTCCATTTCTCTCTGTTACAGTGTCGATACTTTTAAATATTAAAGAGTTATATCAATTTGGAAAATTTTCAAAAAAACTTCTTACGGAATTCCAAGATTATGTCAACAAAATTATCGACAACATTAAAATGACATATTAAAGCAAATTACTTAGAGACTATTAAAAAATTCTGTCAGAAAATCCAAATGTTATATCTCCTAATTCGGGTATAAACCATAATAACTAAATTTTAATCAAATGGATTGTTCAAGATTCAAGAGTTTTCAGATTGTAAATTCCGGATCATTTAGAAATATGCTTCAAATAATGGAACTTTTGGAACTATTAAAGTTAAGGAGTTTAAATTACATAATATTTCTTTCCATCATTCCTAATTGGTTAATTACTATTACAGGTTGATGTTTTGCAATTATAATTTGGTTAATATTATCCACGTGACTATTGTCGTATCTAATTTTCTTTATTTTTACCTATTACAATAGTAATATGAACATTCGTCAAATTAAATAATTTCTTGACTACTGTTTATAGAGTAAGGTCATTAAATTTATACTATTTCAATCCGTGGAGATAAGCCTGATGTTGTAACAATGAGAAATGAAACGCGACTTTAGTCACATGACCGATAGACGTGACAATGGTAAGACGTCTGAGATAATTAGGTAATAAAGGGAGGACGGGTAGAAATGTGAAAAAGGATTATGTCATCTGGCTTTAGCCATGTCGTTGTATTAGCACTTATTATATCATGCCCAAGCCGCTATAGCCAAATGTAAAGAAAGAGGAGTATAAATAATAATGTAAAAGAGAAGTATAAAAGGAATGTAAAATGTAAGGAAGTGAGATATGAATTAGTGAGAAAATTAATAAAGACTCGGTCAAATAAAAACACGCCTAAAATCACCCTTTCGTTTACTTACCTGCTAACGGTTACGCGAATATCTGTCAGAGTTAGCGACTGACTTGCCGTTACACCGTTACAATGTTCATCACAAATGTCTTCATAATAATATAAAATAATGTGGTATAATAATAAAGACTAGTATCCAGTTATATATGTACAGAGAACCCTCCCTAAATGCACTCCCCTGGGACCTAAGAGCAAGTGTGCATTTAGAGAAGGTGTGCATTTAAAGAAAAAAATTTTTTTATTAATTCCGATTAATTTTGCCCGGCATTATATTAATTCTGGTCAGTTATTTTAATTTTGCCCGGTTTTA